CAGGCTCGAAAGCGCACTATTAAGTTCGGCATTAATATATAATAGATACATTTAAAAAAGTTTATTAAAACACATATTTAAAAAAAGGATGTTTATTAGTTTTTGTTTTTATATTGTTTTATTAGAAATTAATACTTGGTTTCTCTACTTTGGTCTTCGTTTACGTAAATCTTACTATTTGTGGAAAACTTATGAAGTATGTATATGTATTTTTTTGCTTATTATTGTTACCATTCCTTTGCTTTTACTATATTATTTATTTTTTCATTGTCAATTTTAATTATGCATGATTTTTTAACGTTTTGTATTAGTTCTTATAATCATAGTTTATGATTGTTAATTGGCTATTAAACAGTTTTTGTACCCGCGTAAAACTAAAAATAACAAAACGCATTTTAACAATAAAATTTAAAAATATTATTTTTTTATGGTAAAATATATATTAGTATATTTAATTATTTTTAGCGTAGTCTGCTTATTTAATAATTTTTAATTTGATTATTGTTTAGGAAAATAAATATTTTAAAGAATTTTGTTTATATTACTTATTTTGTGTCGAAATGCCTTACGTGCATCCGATTTAGCACTTGTTTGACAAAAACACACCTGAAAAGGACGAAGCTGTTTGCAAGCATTAGGTAAATGTACTTAATACACCACAGCGCTCAACTTCTACTATTCATTCGCATTTTAAAAAGAAAAATACAGTTATTAACACACAATTTAATGTAAATAAAAAGAGAGCTGCAGAAGAAGAGGTGACTACTTCTGGTCTCACCAGAAAACCCTCAATCACCGGAACATTTCAATCTAAAGCCTATGATGCCTCAGACTCTGAACAAATCAAATTTGAATACAATCATGTTGTGTGCAACGAACACTCCATTCAATCTAATATCCACTGATTGTTTCGTTAGATTTATTAAATCAATTGACTCAAAACTCACAATCAAAGACTCTACAAATTATTATCGGAAGTAGCTCTCTGAATTATATTAAAAAGTAAAAAAAAAGATTCATCTTTGCTAAAATCAGACGATTTCAGCAAAGATGTTCCTACTCTCACCGGTGTAGCATTTACATGTGGACCAGCTGAAATAATGAATCTTACAGTGCATTGACATGTCACTACATTTAAATAGACTTTCATCTCAAACCATTTTTTGGTTGGAATAGAGTCGTTCAGAGAAGAAAAGCACACTAGCAAGCAATTCTAGGTTGATACCTTATTGAAGATCTCAACTTTCTTCCCAAGGAGCAAACACACAGGTGGTTTGACAATGACAGAGGTTAAAATATCATCTTAGCTGTTCAAAAAAGCCTAGAATTTCAAACAGAGATTCACTGGGCTGATCAAACTTTGTACTTATTTGTCACAAAGATCAGTGACCAAATTAACCTTATCAGAGAAGCTGTCTTCTCTGATAAGGTTGAAAGAAATTGACTTCGATGGAGGTGACTTAGCAGCTCACTTCCATCGAAATACTTTTTCGTGTACCAAAGTGAAAAGGATTTCAGTCATCTTACCATGAAAGACAAAAGAAACGTCAGTTTTAGGTGTGTTAAGTCAGTTCTAGATATCAAAGAAGCGTTAAAAGCTCTAGTAGGAGAAGAACACAATTGAGGATTAAGTCCAAAACAACACCTATTTAAAAGTGTTAAAAAAAATTTTACCAGTTCTTCAAATGGTATATGACTTTTCAATTAAAATTTTTACTAACAAAAGTTTTACAATTCACCTGATCATTCCAGGAACCTACATAACTTTCACAGTAATGCCACAATTCGAATTTGTGATAAAAATATGATGAGTGCATCAGGCAGCTTGAAACTGCCATTTATAAAATGTTATGAAATACAATCCGGAAGAAGACATGAAAAATTCTACATATTTCATTGCTCACATGCTTGCCCCGTGCTACAAAGGTAACGACCAAGCTAATTTAATTAATTCAACTTTTCTTCTAGACTCACCACCAAGTCAGGAATCGGATAACATTAACTTCTTTGTTCAAGTTTTGCAAACTATGAATTAGTCAGAAACATGTATAAGAACTATGACCAAAAAGACAATGGACGTAGATATGGAGCTTAATTATTTTTTGGCAGCTCCTATAGCAAGTTTAGGGACTAATCCTTTACCATGGTGGAAGAGTACAGTAAGTGAATATCAAAAATTAACTACTATTGTCAGGAAAATATTTTCAATTCCTGGATCGTCAGCGTCATAGGAAAGAGTTTTTTCTGGAGCTGACCAAGTCATTACTTGGACAAGATCAAATCTCAACACAACTTATGTGCGTGTTTCGGGTCGTTGTCTTGTTGGAAGACCCGTTTTAGCGGCATGTCCTCAACAGCATAGGGTAGCATGGCATTATTGAGTATGTTGACATATATATGTTGGTCCATGATACCATTAATCTTATAAATAGGGCCGACACCGTTATATGAGAAGCAGCCCCATACCATGACTTTGGCTCCACCATGTTTTACAGACTTAATGTTATATTTTTTCTGAAATTGTGTATTAGCTGGACGTCTTACATATTGTCTTGAACCTGTACCTCCATAAAGAACGAATTTCAATTCATTGGTCTATAATATGTTGCGCCACTTTTTTATGGGCCAATTCAGATGTTGCTTTGCGAACTGCAAACGTTTAGCGGTATGTTTTTTTGGCAACAAAGGAACCTTTCGTGGACTGTATGCATATAAACTGTTATCTCTTAAGCGCCTACGAACAGTTGTGTCATACACATATAAATCAAGATCATCTTTGCGTTGCTTGGCCGATGAAAATGGTTTACTTTTAACATACCTTACAATTCTTTGGTCTTCTTGTGCGGTAGTCTTAAATTTTCAACCTTGTTTTTCAACTTTTGCTTAATAATTTAAGGCATTTGAAATCTTCTTTGCTGAACATCAGAAAATATTTTGTATATATGAGTAAGATTTACCCTTTCTTGATGATGCTTCAAAATAATGTTGCGTTCTGTTGGTGTACAATGACGTCCTCGGCCAATTTGAAAGGTTTAGAAAACGTTTTTACTATTAGGCATACACAAATAAATAAAGTATATATTATAATTGAAGTTATACTTACTTTTCCTGTAAAAATTACAAAAATTTCTTTAAATTTTATAAACTAACTTTAAAACCAATACAACCACTGCTATTTTAATGCATTCTCTCAATTAAAGTAATTTTAGTAAAAATAACGGTATTCTTGGATAAATTGAATTCTCGTATGCTCAATTTACTTATCTCATAATTGTAAAAACACACATAAAAAATTTGTCTTTCTATATTATACAGAAGAAGAGTAATAATGAAAGTACGACAAATTTTTTAGTACTACTATTTTCATGCTCACAATTGTATATATATATATATATATATATATATATATATATATATATATATATATATATATATATATATATATATATATATATATATATATATATATATATATATATATATATATATATATATATATATATATATATATATATATATATATATATATATTATATATATATATATATATATATATATATATAATATATATATATATATATATATATTATATATATATATATATATATATATATATATATATATATATATATATATATATATATATATATATATATATTCATATATATATATATATATATATATATATTCATATATATATATTATATATATATATATATATATATATATATATATATATATATATATATATATATATATATATATTCATATATATATATATATATATATATATATATATGTATATATATATATATATATATATATATATATATATATATATATATATATATATATATATATATATACATATATACATATATACATATATATATATATATATATATATATATATATATATATATATAA